ATCAAATTATATAAGATTATTTATATGCATATTTTAAAAATTTAGAATTTTTGTAATTATAAAAAATTATTAATTTCTTGTATATAAGAGCTTAATAATATTTATTATATTAATAAATTTTTACTATATTTATGTTAACATTCTGCAAACTATATTATATATCAAATTTTGTATAAAATCTATATATAGTTTCTATCTGTAGTTCATAAAAGTTATTAGCAGATATTTTGTATAATCTGTTTTGACAAATTTTATTAACATGATATACATTTTTTATGGTATACACTTTTTTTAAAAGTAACTATGTATTATTTTTATATCAAAATGCAAATATAAATAATGGACATACCCTGGATAATTTTCGTGAACATAAGCCCTTTGGACCTCAACTTCTTGCTGAGTAGTCTCATCTTTAAGAAGATAATGTTTGCCAGCGAAGACTTTAAGCTTGCCAATTTTCATAATGCAATGTCCAGCAGTCAAGACATAATTCTCATTCAGAATCGAACCACCGCAAGCATGATTGTAAGGAATAAAAGGTGGAACACCCCATTGAATAGAGACCTGGTAAGGGAATTCACCTGGTGTGGCATCTTCACCATCGGTGATCCTGGGTTTCAAACCGAAGGGAACGGCTAAACATGCTATAAAAAATTTGGAAAATAACTTCTCAATTATATTTCTATTAATGTTATAATGATATTTCTGCAAAATTTCAACATTTTGTTTTAGTATTGTGCTTACCCTGGAATACCAGAACAGTAGCTACAAGGCTCCGAATCAACATTGTTGATTTGTTAGTTAAATGAAAGCTAAGCACTGAACGAGAGTTTACGGTTTATATACTACGAAATAAAGAGCAATATCTTGCGATAAGGTATGCGTGTATTTTGGATTAACTTTGATAACGCAACTTCTCGAATACGTAGATAAGCATGTACTGACTATTATTTTACCATGAATTAGTCTCTTAAAAAAAAAGATATCTTTTAATAAGAAAAATTAACATTAGTTAATGTATATATTTGTAATGAAATTTATTTCTCTCTTTAGTAGTAGAAATATTATATTTATTATAATACATTTCTGATTAAAATAACAAATATTAAGCTAAACAGTTTGATATGTAGTTTTGATAAATAATATAAAATAATGCTTAATATATTATTATCTGTACAAAAAGATTTGATATTATTACATAATAAAATATATAATAAATTCTTCATTATGCATTACATTATGCATTACATATTCTCTTCTTGCTTAACTACAAATTTAATTCTGTATACACAGACAGAAGCTTCACATAATTTACAAAAAGAAATGTACAAAAATAAACATGTCTAACAATAAAGTACAAATATAGATAAATAAATAAAATAAAATAAATCTTACATTTTAATTAAAACAACTACTTAAATATATTTTTTAATGTTAATTTAACTATAATTAATAAATAAGTTTTTCAATCAATCGATTCAGAGATACAACTTTGCTAAGAAATTCGAAATTTATTACAGCGTCTCACGTTTGTAACTTAAAAAACAATGATAAAAGATAATACATCTTTTGTATTTTTAATTAGATGTAAATTTATCTTGATGCTAACTCTCGTAACTTATTTTGATAACAATATGCATGCGATTTCTCGATATGAGTGCCCTATGTACTCTGTCCTATGTACTCTATCTATTGCATAGAGCTGTAGTAAAAACTCATGTGATTCATAAAGGGCATTGATTCATTATCTGGGTTAAAAAAAGAACGCAGTTCGGATTAAGTGCGTATATAGAAACGCGGAATGTTCTCACGTGTTGCAAGTGACTAATCGAGCGATTGCCCGTATTCCTGCCCAAATCTCCCGCGCAGTCGGAACTATCTGAGTAGCTGGTAATAGAAATCCGTATGTTCCCCGATCACGCAATTCTACTGTGTATGCGTACTTTATCGAGGCAACACCCTTAGCCCAATCATCAGACGATCCTACGAACAGAAGAAAATAGTACTTTTGTTTTGTCGTGATGTGATTGCAAAAGTATTTCGAAGTATCGTTGTCTTATCTTGATATCTGATTTTTGCAATGATCAGCACTTAAATCATTCTTACGAGTTAATTTAAACTGCATTGTTAAAATTAAAATAAATAATATAGTAAAATATGTACCAGAAGTCGGGTACATTAGCTCTGCTGAGGGCCCAAGTTGATAATTAGTGCCGTGAATTTTTGCGATTGCCTTAATCGCTTTTCTCGCTACGTTCATTAAATCGATGAAGTCAGGTGGTTTCGAACGTGTATGACCCCATGGTACTAGCCACATTTGAGAATAAGAATGCAAAGTTAAGTACATTCTGAAAGTGTAAATTTAATATCAATACTGTCACATAAAGTTTAAATGAAAATTTTCATAAAATTGAGAACTTTAAATGGATAAATTCGATTAAATAGTTAAATAGTAATAAAGTGATTAGTACCGAATATATTGTTTATTTGCCAATATATAATCTGCCATAGCTTTCGTCTCAGGTTCAGAAAAGGCAAAAGGTCCCGAATATGTGTCATCACAAGGATCTGAACTAGCACCTCCATTTTTCTCTTCGCCCCAGTGGTATGCGAAATTTCGATTCGGATCAACTCCTTCGCATGTCGACCACAACCACCTGGTATAGTGGGTTACAAACTGTAATAAATTGGAAGGCGTGTACCTAGAAAAGATCACGCACTGTTTTAGTTTTATGACAACACGCAACGGTCTCAATTATAATTTTCGTTGCGTGAATATTATGTAATGGGCATGAGAAATGTTTTTGAATTAAAGCAATTTTGATTTTTTATCTTGAAATCTAATCTTAAAATCTTATCGATCAATAATCTAATCTCTGACGTTTCTCTTAGTATATACATGTATATACTCGCGCTCGACAAGTATACATAAAATCATATTAGCAAATATTATTGATGTTAATTGCATATTAATGCATACAACTGTGGCAACGAAATTTTCTTCTTTTCTCACCTACTATCGTTTTGACTTTCTACGTGATTACTTCTAGTTTTTCGCCAAAAACGATCGCCCACATGACTATATTCATAACCATCAGGATTAACAACGGGCAGAATCATCCAGTCTGAATTATCCAACAATTTTGTATAACTCGAGTTCTTTTCAACCAACTGGCTCAATATGTAGGTCGCCACGGCGGTACCAATCCATTCTCGTCCATGCATGCCTACGGAGATGACGACGATTTAGCGAAAAGACAATCTAACGGGACGAGATAAACGAGAAACGTGGGAAACATCGTAGAATAATTCGTCGAGAATCGACTAATCAATATTGGGAACAATCAAGATTGTTCATGATAAAAGTTTTAAAATATTAATAAGATGCACAATAGACAAAATCTTTTTTTTTATTTTTATAAATTATTAATATTATATAAAATTTATTAAGACATTTAAAATCCTATCTACTGGGCCATCTATTATCTCATTATTTTAAATTTATCTCTTACTATTATTATTACTTGTTATAATTTATTGCTTATTCGCAATTATATTTTAACTTGTCTGATTTAATTTTATCTTTCATGTTTTGTGTGAGAACTATATTCTGTAAAAAACTAACCGGCATCAATCCAAATAGCAGGTTTCCTTTCGCCTTCTTTGTTCATTCCTGATGAAACCTTCGCTATTTTTATCGGTTGGCCCTCGTAGCTATGTCCGATGGTTGTTAACTCTACCATTTTAGGATACCTAAAGGCTAGGTATTCTAAATAGCGTATAATATCTGCCAAAAGAGAAGAGTCAATTTATTATGTTATTTAATTACATTTAATCATTGAATTTAGTTATTTGTTTGATGTCTAAATATCAAATATATCCGATAAAATTGTTTATATGCATCAAATATAGATTTTAAATCAATTAAGATTTATAAAATATAAAATTAAATCTTGAAATCGGCATTAAATTTAAATAGATTAAATCAATTCAATAAGATAAATAACATAAAAATACATATTGCAATACGATTTTACCTGCGTATCGATGATAACGTTTCCATGTCATTGTGTGGCCTTGAGTTGTGGCCAAGTCTTCGCGTTGTTCTTTGGACATCTTTGGATTTTGATAAGAGATCGTTTTCTGTTAATCAAATAAAAAAATTTCATTGACCTTTTCTGACTACATTCAATTCAAAAAGTTACAATTATGCCAATTAATCATGTCAACAATTAACAGGATTTCTCTTTTCTATTTCTAACATAGTAATCATTAGTCAATAGAACACATACATAACGATTAATATATGCAGAAACGAAAACCTTTGATCTAGTCTCTTAGTATAATAAATGATTTATTCGCTACTTTCATGTTAATTTTATACCTTTGCGTATCTATAAGAAATCATTGAAAAGACTATAAGTAAAACGTGTCAGTATTATGTATGGACATCAGCTGTCACTGGAATTTCCTTCCGATAATATCAAAGAGAAATAATGAGATACTAGTTGCGAATAAATTAATAAATTCTAATTAAGATGTTATTAACGTTTTCAGTACTGATAATGTTGATAACTTTTAATTTCATCTATTACAAAGGCTTAATATAATTTATCCAATCTAATATTAAAATATATTTATTTTCACCTGGATATCCGATATTAACACCTTGAAATCGATCTTCTTATCTCTTAAATACTCCTTAACATCATTTACGACATCTGGCGCCACAATGATGTCGGCAGTTCTACAAAAAAGTGTGAAGTATGAAATGTGTATAAATACGTTAAATAATTTATAATTATGATATATATTATCTACAAAGACAAACCTGTTGGGATAAGGAAAGGACCAAAATTTAATGTCTTCAGGCTCGGCATCTCTTAAATCATGCAGATCTGCAGCTTGACTCTCCGTGTTAGGAAACGTTCTGATTAAATGGTAATTTCTGTAATTTATTCGTCTGGTACGTGACCGTGAATTCTTCTTCTCGGTACCAACGATACTGCTTACAACAGTACTGAGTCCGGTCGCTACGATGGACAGCATGGATTCAACTAGGCCAAATAGAGAAAAACTTCTGTAATCATCATCATCCCAAGATAATTCTCTAGATGTGTTTTGAAGATGATTATTTGCTTCAGTGAACACAAGTCTTTCTTCTTCTTTGTTTTTGGAATTCAAATATAGTTGCATTTCTTGATCTTTATGGGTATCCTGCAAACTACATGTTGATTATTTGTGATTTTAGGATGTAAAATGTTCTCTAATATGTTTTATATTAAGTATGTTGAAATATTTTGTGTTGAAAAATTCTTTAGATAACGAAAAGACACAGTGTTTCTTTTCTTTTAAATCTTAAAAAAATATAAAATTTAAAAATTTTTTTCTATAGTTTAAAAATAGTAATTTTGTTTGTTATAAATAGTTTCAATATTATAAAGATATTTTGTTTATATGAAGATGTTATAAAAATATTTATTAAGAGTATTTTCACGTTTACGTCATGTGCTTTTTAAATGACAAGAGCACCATTTCTATACTTGTGTAAAAACACATTGATGTATTTTTATTATCAAATACATCAGTAAAACAATTCAACATTCCGTGATTAGCGTACTTATGATCTACTTTCTCTTAGAAGAAAAACTAGAACGGACAAAAAGGCAGCGCATCTTAATTGTCATAATAGTGTTACAGTAAAACTAACACAAAAGAATTAATAAATAGAAGTGACAATGATTAAATTCAATGTAAAAAAATGTGATAATAATCATGTTAAGAATTAAAGTCCAGCTATAATATTTATTACAATCATTATTATTTGCAGTTTATAAATATTAAGATAAATATGTCTTTCAAAGCGAGAGAGAAAGATTTTTTTTAAATAAAAATTATTAAATCAGATTTCTTTGATATTTAGAATTTTTATACATATCATATTTATATTTCACAGATCACATACATTTAAAAATTATCACTTAGAAATTACATAATGTCGATTTATTTAATCTTCTTTTTATTTAGCTCTTTTAATAATCTTAAGACGCAGACTTAAGATTATTAAATGTTTTTTTATTAATCGTGAAAAGTTTTTTTTCAAAATATTAGAAGATAACCCAGTTTCACACATCTTTATTAAATTGTTCAGCAAGTAAGTCTACTATCTATTAATAACACCAACCCATTACTTTCTTCATCCAGAATTCTTTCCTTTTTGAATAACTTCTCCTCAGAATGATCATGTGTCACTATGTAATTACCACGATATGGATTACTGTCTGCCGGATGTGGCATGAAGATCCCCGAAAGCCCGAGGATCACGCACACGATCAACTCGACGCCGGTACACATGGCGTGCTTCGATCGCGCCAGGCCGCACGATCGTCTCGAAGACTCCTCGTTGACTGGCAAACCTGCAGTCGGAACCAGTCTCTCAACATGGTACGTACAAGCATGTGAAACATGATGGTTTCACTGTTCTGCCTCACAGGCATGGATTACGGGATTTCATTTCAGCGCTGGATGACATTCATTCTTCAGTCGTGCAGCGGATCAGAGGCTTCGGGGTTAACGGATAGAATATTGAAGCCTTAGAGAGGTCAGACGCATTGATAGATGACAATTTGCAATGATTTGACTTGACTCGACTTAATGGACCATTCAAACGTTAGAGAATTCTGATAATGTTATAATTTGCGACAAACAACATGAAAGTAAAAACATTAGTATATAAAATACGTTGTATCATTATTTTGATACTGATTATTATTCTTCCAAGATAAAAATTAAATTTTTATCAAAATTTGATAATATAACAATAATTTGTATTTATTACACGTTTTATTATTATTATTTTAGATTTATTAATTTAAAATTAATACCTATTTTTTCTTATTTATTCTATAAATTCATGTTTATATCATTATTTTGTTTTTATTTTAATGCTATTATGCTTAATACAAAAAAGAAAAAAAATAATCTTTATTTTAGGAAACTTTATTTTAATAAACAAAATAATACAATAGTGCAAAAAAAACTTTTAAATTGACAAACAGAAGCGTATTCCGGTAAATTTGTTGGTATGGTGCGATGTAGTAGGTCAGTAAGTTTGCCGTTAGCAAAACACGTTTCACGATATCAATGTTCAAACAACCGTAACTATATATATAACTATATTAAGTCCACTTTTCTCCACGTAATCACTTTATACAATTATTATCGCGTAACATTTTTATTAAAAATATAAGTAAATCTAAACAAAAGTTAAGAATTCTATTAATTATAATACAAATTCCAATTTTTTTCTTTATATATACATAAATTTTTTTATATATTAATTTATTTTTATAATAGAATTAAGATTTTATTATTCATCACATGTTCAATAATTTATGAGGAATATTTAAATAATAAATCAAGTAAATCAACAATGGTATAAAATTGATAAAAGAATTCAACAATAGAATTTACATGAAAAGATAAAATCAGTAAAACTGATTTCCATAATTTTAATTTTTTTAACAATAAAAATTAAGGATACATATCTGCTGGCTGATAGTAATAACTTCCTATTTTGATGTTGATATCATATAATACCTAAAAGAAATTTGAAATAGCAAGATAAGTATTAAAACTCAAACATGCTGTGAATATGATTTATTGTTGTTACAACTATATACGCGCGTACCCATGCGGCACGCAACGATACAATTATTGCGTAAACGTACACAGAATACAATAGAGCGTAAACAAGTATAATATTAATTATTATTATTATAATGACTGAATGTTAAATTAATGTTACGCTGTTAGTCGGATTCGGGCGCATACGAAAGAAAAGAGACGGAGAAGGAAGGGCAGACGGACGATGAAGACAAGAAAGAACGCAAAGAAAGACACGGTCGGTTCTCTCAAGCGGGCCCTTAATCCCTTCAGCGGCACCCAATCATCTCTATGCGTTTCAAAAGATGTCATTTCGAGCCCGCAATCCACAAGATAAAACATATTACACTCACTTTACATTTAGTCTTTAGTTCTTAGCGCAAAGTGATATATTTCATACCCGCCGCCATTAAAGGGCCACGCATAAAGGGTTCCCATGGTCAACGTTAACCTATTTTTCGACCTTCGAATATACAGTACGAATTTTGACTAGCACGTTGCGTAACTAAGGGTCCTCCTTCTCTCGATCGCGGAGGAATTCGCAGAGAAAGTAGGAAACGCCGAAGCTTCGACCGACCTTAGTCCGGAAAACAAAAGTGGAAGGGACCGCGAAAGTAAGACAAAAAAGTCGGCGACGTCGAAAGAAGAACTGGTTGCTGCAGACATCGGCAGTCCTCACGCCGCCGTATTGTCGTAATTACAATATAATCGACTTGATCGTAATAATTGACTGCTCATCATCGTGTTCGTCAAGACGTACTCTTTGAGAGTGGATTCTTGACAGCACACGAGCCCGAAATGGCAAGAATCTAGGGGTTCACCGAAAGAATACGCGCGATACTGCCTCGTCATGTGCATAATTCTCCTCAAGTAGTATTACTCACTTGCACTTGCGTGACTTTCGAGCTGATCCTAAACGTAACATTGCTTTTTCCTTGAGTCATAGACTGTTTTCTCGCAACAATCTTTTTCGAGGTGTTTCCCTCGAATCCTTTTCTTTTAAGGCGCCATTGTCTCGTGGTATATTTACAATTAT